ACTTATATATCTATATATATATATATATATATATATATATATATATATATAAATATACATATATTTATATATATATACATATATATATATATATATATATATATCTCTATATATATATACATTTATATATATATATATATATATATATATATATATATATATATATATATATATATATATATTCATATGGACACTCTTGTTTAGTGTCGTTCTTCTATTATATACTTGTATGTATATTGAGATTTACCGCCACGATTGCTGGTATATGTTTGAGAATTTTCTAGTATGTGGCGGCGGTGTTTTTCTGTAAAACTTTGCGACCGCTGCATTCTTTGCGAAGTGTGTATACGAAAATGTTAATCCCAGTTCTAATCGCATTCACGCTTCTGCTAACGGATGGTTTTCGAACTATGGTTTGTGTACATTGACCACTTTTCGCAGTGTCGAGATTTCCGCAGAGATCTGGAGACCAAAATCGCATCACTATCGGGCAGTCTACTCAAGTCGGTATGTTCGATTTGTTGCAATCAGGGCACATGTCAGATATGTGCAGATGGATAGTTAACGACTCTTGAATAGTGATACTATTACAGAATTATGCAAGTGTGCGCGTACTAATCGCCAATCAAGTTGCTTGCTGCAATATACGCCATGATTTATGGCGTGATTCTCGATTCTCGCATATTTCCATCTAACAGGACGTCATATAATGCATTTTTCACCCTATAGGATTTCGATTCACGAGCATCTTTCGTATTGGCCAATGAGATCGTACAGAGTGACAAACTCATCCTCGCTCTCGCCGCAGGTACGTTGTCATGGTAGCATAGCGCCAGTCTGTAATGAAACAGTCATTTTTCTAGCTGTTGTTTGCGTAAAAAAGTATCACTTTAATTCCGCGGCAATCGTAAACGTCAGGCGATACAATCAATTCAAGGCCGATTCAAAATCTTCATTTCAGGATTATGGATAGTACACCCTACCTATATCACGGATTCGTTTGCCGCCGGTAAATGGTTAATGCCAGATAAGTATGAGTGGGGCATGGAAATAGCCAGCAAGATAATTCCCGACACCAGAGATATCACAAAGGAACTGCTGCAAGCTTGTCGGTATGGTGGCGCTTACTGGATTATTGTATATATTGGCGTATGCTCGCTAGTGATACTCGTATATTTATTAATTCTGATACGCATTCGAATGATTTTTGTGTTTCTTTCCGTTTATACTGAATAATTTCTCGTCTCAATAGGTATATATCCTCGTGAAGATATTCACAACATCAATATAAATTGGCTTAGCAATACCTTATCTTGGAAACTGAGATTTCTCCTCTCGAGGTTTGGTATGCATACCGAGCACATTCTGTATTTAAAATTATTCTTAAATTATATTTCTCGTAGTGAACAACGTCTATCCAAAGAAGCCAAGGTAGTGGCAGCAAAGGCCAGGGGTGAAGTTACCAGCGGACTGCTATTCGAAGGCTGGAATGTCTTCTTTATGATATCTGAACCAGAACGGCTTCAGCGCTACACCTCGTAAGTCTGTTGTGTTTTAATGCTACACTCTATCAATCAAGCGGGGAAGGTGCTCGATAGCTAAGTGTTACTCTGCCCATGACATCGTCTCAAATAGTCGGGTTGTCTCAATCATATGTTCAAAGACATATTGTATTGTCCTTATAGCTTATGAGACTTCTACCAGTTGTGACTTTCACTCGGGTTTTCGCATTTTCTTGATTCTCCGTTATGTACGGGTTGGGATATTTCGCTTTTAGTTTGGTTAGTTAGCCCATGTTTTGTCATTAGACTTCAGTCCGTAAGTAGTAGTCTCATGCCCTGTGTGAATACTTCTCGGCTGTTCAGTATCTGTTTAATTATATCACAAGCCAAGCCATCCAGTCCTCGTGATGGCCCACGCTTGTCACAACCGAGTGCCTCTCGACGTTTACTTAGTGTATGTCATGTCTGACCGCTACAGCTATTACAACATGTATTAGTACTAAAAGTTGGTCATTGAATGTATGCAATTAGAGTTCTGAGAGCGGGTGGGGCACAGTTTGTTGTCGAAGGAGACGCCAGCGCCGCAATCACACATGTGGTGGTCGACATGCTTGGTCAGACACTACCGGCTCATATCCCGAAGACCGCCAGTGTGATCGCGGGGATATCTATCATGCGTAGTGTCGTAGCCGGAGGTAAGAAAGCGCTAAAAAATTGAACTTACTTTAGCCCTTAATTCGAATATGCTTCTATGAAGTATGGCTCAGAGGGGCATGTGTGTGTATACGTACATATGAAGCGGAATTGTCTGCATTTTTCAACTTGGTACACTTCTAAGGCGCTGGCTGTTTGTAGCTGTGTTTATTACAAATGATTCACTATTCGGTGTTGTGACACGTGCAGCTATTTCTGCACGTCCCATTTAATACTTCAAATATCTACGTGTCAGTTGTATCTATAGGTCGTAGTTGTGGTGGGCTACTAGTGCTTCTAATGCCCTTGACTTCGTGTTATTTTACCATAACTCATGATAATATTTATACCGCTTGCACAGAAGAGATCGCCGCCAAGACAATTCGTTCGAGCGAGGAGTTCGAGGTGAAAACCAGAATGATGGAAGAAATTGTGAACGAGTATGTGTTTGCAGTTGTCTACTTCAAATTGATTTCACTCTTGTGCAAAGCTTGCTAGTCTTAGATAACCGATATTGTCCTTTTTACCCCTTTGTTACTTCACTTATCAAAGATTTTTTGCTTTGAACGGTGAACAGTCATATCGAGAATCTTCTCGATCCCGATAGTTGCGAATCTCTTGTGAGATCAGTAAGAATTTTCTGCCAAACTGGAAGACTGCCGAAGGCTCGTACTGTTGAGTTCATAGTGAAGAACGTACTTCCGACGCAAAGTGAGCTTGTGGTACAGTGTGTGTCCGTGCTGGAGAATCTCAAGGTGAGACGCGGTACATAAATTTCATTTGCATCCGTTGTGGCTCTTCAAGCAGTGCGCTTTATATCACAAGCTGAAGCTGTTTGACGGTAACTAAGGGCATTCCTGCTGAGCTCACAGCCGTCGACCTATCAAAACGGTCTGTATCGCCTTGATAACTATTACATCGACTGTCCAGTTACCTCTGATCCACACCAAGTAATTGACTTACTCTGTACACATGTGCAGTCCCTGCATCCACCGCAACGAGTTCCCAATGCATGGGTGCCGGGACGCGAGTTCGCCGAAGAATGTCTCTCGGACCAGTCGAATGAGGTATCTATCGTATTTTAGCCGTTCAGCGATGTCGGATCACTTCTCATTATGACCCTTGATAAAACATTGACATTACAGCGCTTCTGTGTTTATTAGAGCGGCAAGGGTTTTTTCAGATGTCCTTTGAGCATATCTGTTAATAAAAAACGCCGAGTTGTGTACTTTGATAGTAAATCAGTGTAATCCTGATTTGTGGTGCTCAATTCAGATGGATCTCCTATCCGGAAAAAGGTCCTACACAAGCATGGCAGCCACTCGGAGGTCATCGAACTCTCTCGGAATCGACGGCGAGGAGAAAGGGCCGTCGGATTGGATATTCATAAAGATGGCTGCCGAATACTCTTTAGCACAGGATCACGCTTTGGGATGGACGGAGAAGATTTTCGGCGAAAATCGAAGTGGCAAGAACAAATGGGTGCAGACCCTCACTGGCGATGGGTGTTTGGCATCGATTGAATATATGGTATCTGTGTTGGAAGCGTGCGCAGCGGTTACCGATACTGATGAGTCGATTGTGACTTCGGGACCGAAAGGAAATGTCGGGCTTGCAGCCAGTATGTTACGAGAAGCCAACGAGACCGCAGAGGCAGCTCTCAGGGATGTACTGGAGTGGATCCGTTTGTGTCTCTCTATGGACCCAAAACCTGACGATGATTGCGATAATAAACCCGATCCAGACGAAGGAGGCAAGTCTACATCATATAAGCCTCCAGTGGATAGCCGGGGCTTCCCGATCACAACACGCCTGGATTCGCGACAACAACAAGTACTACTGATACGGCTACAGTCCATCGCGTCTCTCATAGTTAACTCATCTTCGGCTGGGGCTGCCCCGTCCCAGGTTACGCTGCTGAAGAAGTGCTACACCTCACTCGACACTACGCAACGCAAAGCGAAACTCCTGGACACCGTGGCGTGCGATTCAGTGAGGATAGCTGCGTGGAAGAAGGATGTGATCGCCATGCTGCTCAATACGGACTATGACAAACAGTCTGTACCGCAGGACATTGTGTGTCTATGCGGCACCAATGCCAAATCAAGTTTATTTCAGATTGTGGGATGCTATTTCTTCCTGCGGCCGAAGAGGACTTCCAGTGGAAGTTTCGATACAAGAGTATTTACCGATGGGAAGGTAGATAGCATGGACAATAATAGCAAAGTGGCGGTAGCGTGGATGAACAGGAATATGCGGCGGTTACAAGTCCTAGAAACTCAAGAGAACGCAGACTGGACGGAGTCCTCAGAAGAACTACTTACTTTGTTGCTCCACTACAGCAGTGTAAGTGACCTGCCAAGCACTATTGTATGAGAAATCCTTCCCTCACCTCTACTACGTACATTCGTCATTCTGCGCTATTGTACGTGATGCATTTCGTTTCGTTTCGTGTCCATCAGATCCCCCATTGATTGTTCATTACGCATTGATTCCATCATTTTGCGCAAGTATGTGTGAGTTTTTACGTTTATTTTCGTGTCCATTAGATCCTCCACTGATCGTTGACATACGCATTGATTCTATCATTCTGCGCAAGTACGTGCTGGTATTTACTTTTCGTTTCATGTCCATTAGAACCTCCACTGATTGTTGATTTCGCATTGATTCTTTCTTTCTGCACAAGTGCGTGCGAGTTTTTAAGTTTCGTTTCATGTCCATCAGATCCCCAGCTGAATATTCTTTCCGCACTGATTGCACCCCATTATTACAGGCATACATGTATATCAAAGGGCGTGCCATTGCAGGTCACACACCTGCCAAGGCCCTGGACGACGCACCATTGCAGGCCACCATGAAACTGGATGAGTGTGTGGCGTCGTTGCGATCCAGAATGCCCCGTAGTACAAGAATCGATGCGCTGTGTAGAGCATTGTCCTTTACTCTACAGTTTGGTTGATTCCAACAAATACTATACTCTTGCAATTTGGCTAATCACAGAAACATGGGAAAGCTCGTCCTTGTACGATCTCCTTTGCATTAAATCCCCAACGTGCCGGGAGTGTGGGCCTGTGCTGCGTCTCATCGTGCGGGAGAAAATGATAGAACTTTCATATCCGCGCTATGCCATCACCGGAGACTAGGGGAGACGCAAACTCGTCATTTACTAACAAACTCATGTTCAGCATCGTGCTCAATGCGCGTAGACTGTAGGATAAATATATCAATTACATAGCGGAACTCTCAGTTTTAGCTCATGGTTTGTATGGTTATTGTACGCCAGACAGTGACCAGCGAGGAATTTGTGGATGACAAAAAAAAAGTCTACTTCAATGGCTCCGATAGAATCAAAATGGAACTACACCTTCTGCTTTGACAGGTTGATATAACGAAGATTATTGTGCAGCATTGCATCCGGCAATTGTAGATACGAGTCTTTAGCACTTTACATAACGAAACTTTGTCCCAGGCTGGTCGTCTCGAGAACTCTCAAGCTTTCTCCGCTTTATATTTACAATTGCTTTGTATGTACAACCTATACTATTCCAGTCTATTATTGCATTAAGTCGCTCGAAAATGTGAGTTCTAATGGTCCCTGTGCGTCCATAATCAATTACAATAAATTATTTGACGAGGTGGGCGCGCTCAGTCTTGTGTTGCTTTCTTGCGACTATGACACAAGTACTGTGTACAACCTAGTTCTTATTAAATGTATTGAATGTGCTTGTCTTTTAGCATTCTTGCTATGCTACTTGACTAAGAGAGTATAAGGCTTCCTATGCGTTCTGTATGACTTAAATCTTCCCACAAGGCGGGTGCGCCTGTCTATTGTTGCATTCTTGACAAACTGCTCGACTATGAGAGAGCTCTAAGGCTCCGTCCGCGTTCATATGTACAAATACTATGTACAACCAATTTATTTGAGAAGGAGAGCGCGCTTGTCTTTTCAGTAGCATTCTTGATAAGTTGCTCGACCATGAAAAATGATGCATTTGCGTATGTATATGTGTAGGTATATAGGTATAGGTATAGGTACAGCTACAGATATAGGTATAGGCATATGTATAGGTATAGATATAAGCAATATAAAGATATAGGTATAAGTATAGGTAAAAGTACGGGTGTAGGTATAGATATAAGTATATGTACAGATATATGTATCTGTATAGGTATAGATATAGACATAGGTATAGGTGTATAGGTATAGTTATAAGTAATAAAAACTAATAGATATAAGTATAGGAAAAGGTACGAGTGTAGGTACAGATATAGGTATATGTATAGGTATAGACATAGGTATAGGTATAAGTATAGATATAGGGTACAAGTATATGATTATGTATATGTATATGTGTATGTATTTGTTTAAATATATATATATATATAT